GAAAGCTTCGTTATCTGATGGCAGAATTTCGCATGCTCGACGAGAAGTCACCAACGATTATCCACGTCGACAACCAATCTGCGATTTCTGTGTCTGAAGGAATGGGGCTAAAGGGAAAGCTGAAACACATGGAGCGGCGCTACATGTGGCTGCAGAGCATGGTGAAACGTCGCAAGCTGAAGCTGCAGTACATCTCGACGACCGAGCAGCCGGCAGATTACTTGACGAAAGCACTCCATTTCCCTGCGTTCAACAAGTGCTTTGCAAAAGTTGGTCAAGTAAGGCTTTCGACGAAGGGGAGCTGCGCAGAGAGTCCTCTTGACGAGGAATAGGTGCCATGACCTTTTCATGGCTGGTGCGGTGATGGTGTGTGTGAATTGCTGACTTCTGCAATTCTTGTGTGGTTCTTTTCTGCATGCTTTAATTTCTTTCTTACTGTTTCTGCTCTGGTGTGTGGTGTAGACGGGTCAATTTTTTTTCTCTGCGACGACCAAGCATGATCAATGCAGGGGAGTGTTGAGCTGGCATTGACCCTGCATAAGATGGTCGTCGCCTTCTGCAAGGGAGCGAAATTCTACCGAAGCAAAATCTGCAGTGGTCAGCGCGGAGGTCTTCAGCAGAGAGAAACCTGCAGAAGCGGAAAGCAGGTTTTGTCAGATTATAATGCTTGTCTAGCCTGCAGTGGGGTACTCTATAGTGAGTACGGCCCCTTAGGGTTTCCTATTTGTATCCCAACTGTTGCTAGTCCAACCCCTCCTTTGCTCATTTCTCTCTTGCCTAGCTAGGTAAACCCTAGCTATGGCTCCTTGTTCTACCCACTATTCTGACAGGTTTCGCCGCAGAAGCAGGCGCATCTGCAGAAATCGGGTCTGCAGAAGAGGGCGCATCTGCAGAAGCGGATTTCTGCAGAAGAACGCATCCTCTACCGACGAACCACTCCGACGCGAAAACGCGGTCGTTTCGGAACTTTTGCGTGGGAATTTCGGAACATTGCGGACATTGAGAAATTGACCCCCGGAAACAGTGCGTGAACTTGGGGTGTTCAATCTGGGGGCGAATTGAACCACCTGAGCAAACTGAACCTGGCGCACGTTTTCGTAACTACGAAAACGTGCGTTACAAATGTTGTTTAAAACAACCTGAATAGTTAAAATAACTACTTTTAGGTAGGTAAAAATTACCAACTAAGCATGTGTTGTAATTTTCACCTGCCGATGCTGACTTGGCAAAGCGCAGCTAAGTAGTAGTTATCTAGCCATTCTGGTGAGAACGTTCTCTTGTTAGGTTCAGTGGTTGGGTAGTTCTTTACCCCTTGTATTCTATCTTTGATCTATTGTAGTAAATTTCTTTGTGTGTGCCAACTCTATGCCTTTTTCAACACTTCACCAATTTTCTCCTTAGCGAACAACAAAGTTTGCGTGGCTGCAGAGAGGCATTTCGTAGAGCTCCAACTCCCGTTAGAGCAGAAATCTCTGCAAAAATCAGGTTGTTGCGGGCGACTACTACAGCTGCGGCTGCATGGATGGTCGGGTCAAATCGTCGGCGATGTTGTTGGCGCCTTTCTTATACGTGATGGTGTAGCTGAAGTTGGATTCCAGGTAGTCCAACCACCTGATTTGTCGCGGGTTGAGTGTCGGCTGCATGCGTAGATACTGTAGCGATTTATGGTCGGTTCTGATCGTCACGTCGGCTCCCGTTAAATAGCAGCGCCAGGTACGAAATGCGTGGACGATGGCGCATTTCTTTGTCGTGGACCGGGTAGTTGCGCTCGGGTGGCTGCATCTTGCGTGATTCGTAGGCGATGGGTTGCAGCCCCTTGCCAAAGTCCTGTAGCAGGACGGCGCCAACAGCGAAATTGCTGGCGTCCGTGATGACTTCGAATGGTCGAGATGGGTCGGCGAGGCGAAGTACCGGGGGTGAACTCAAAATGATTTTGAGCGTGTCGAAGGCGGACTGCTCTCTCTCCCCCCACTGAAAATATGTGTCCTTGTGCAGCAAGTCGGTTAAAGGCTTGGTAACCCCGGCCATATTGGGTACAAACCGGCGAGCGTAATTCACGAAGGCGTACAAACTCTGGAGCTCAGTGATGTTAGTCGGCGGCTTCCACTTAGCGATGGGGCAAACTTTGCGAGGGTCAATTTTAATTCCCTCGCTCGAAACCACGTGGAAGCCGCCGCATAAATTAGGTCCCTTCGTTATGCGTCGGTTCAGCTGTAAGCGCCCAAACACCTCCTCCAAATCCTTTAAATGCTCTGCTTCTGTCTTGCGGAACACCAGGATGTCGTCGAGATAAACGATAACTTTTTTTGTCCAGCATGTCCCTGAAGACCCCGTTCATAGTCAGCTGGAACGTCGAAGGCGCGTTGGTCAGTCCGAACGACATCATTGTATACTCGTAACTGCCATAGCGTGTGCTTAAAAGCAGTCTTCGGCCAGTCGTCGGCGAACACGCGAATTTGGTGGTAGCCCCGTCGCAAGTCGATCTTCGACAAGTAGCGAGCCTCGCGAAGTTGATCCAGCAGGTCGTCCGCTCGCGGGATCTGGTAACGCGACTTGATCGTGACCCGATTCAGTGCTCGATAATCAATACACATTCGCAGGCCCCCATCCTTCTTCGGCGTGAACAGTATTGGTGCTGCGAAGGGCGACGTGCTCGGGTGGATAAAACCCTTGGCGAGGAGATAATCCAATTGGCTTCGCAACTCGTCAAGCTCCGATTGGCTGAGCCGCCACTGTGTCCGAACAGTAGGTTGTGCGCCGGGCTCCAGCTGTATCTTGTGATCTTCCGGTCGTTGAGGTGACAGGCCATCGAGCAGGTCATCCGCGAAAATTTTGGGATACTTCCGAATGATGCTTGCCAGTTCTGCAGGGACCGCCTCATAGAGCTTGTCAATGTCGGCAGTTTTCTAGGAGGTTGCTACTTCGTACAGGTGTATAGCATAGCCTCGTGCCCCCTTCTTTATCGCCCGCCGCATGGTGACGGTGTTAACACGTGTCGTCAACGGCTCCGGGTCCGTCCATCTTGGAAGCATCGTGTATTCCGCATTTCATCGCACGGTACGCACCCCTGTTGTCCAGTCGATCGTCGGATTGAATCTTTGCAGCCAATCGCGCCCCAGCAGCACATCGCAGCCGTCCAGTGTTGTCGCAAGCATCTTCATGCCGAACCCGAAATTGTCACCACACATCATCCGAATTTTTCGCGCCTCATCTGGAATGGCCACCGGTATCCCATCCACCAGCCTTGCGTCAATCTCTGGCAGAAACCTGTTCAGCTTCACCCCAATTTTTTTGGCCGTTGCCAGATTGACGAGACTGTGGCTCGCCCCTCCGTCAACGAATACTTTTATTTTGTAGCCGTTATCCCTCCCTACTACCAGCACAGGGTGGTCCACGTGTTCACCCACATTTGCGGTCGATGGCTCTGATCGGTACCACAACTCGGTGTGGATGGTGATTGCCGGGCGACAGGGTCTCGTCAGTAGGGCGCCCGTCTGCTACAGACTCGTCTCTTTTCCCGACCCTTCTCCGTCGTTCTTCTTACCCTGTTTCAACTTCGGACAGTCTCTCCTCAGGTGGCCCAGCTGGTTGCATGCGAAGCACGACCCTATGGCTCGGCTTGGAGCGTCCATACCGTTGATTGTGGGCTACTGAGTCGGTCCACGAAATCGAGGGCCCTCCCGGGAGCTCGATCTCGCCCACTGCATTAGCGCATCCATTGACTCGGCTTCCTGGACAGCGTCATTAAAGCTGCATGGCCGCGTTCGTCCGACCTCATACTGTATCTTGTACTTCAGGCCCGCCACGTAGCAATCCAGCCACTCCGCATCGCTCATATCGTCCACCTGGTCAGCCAAGTTGCAGAAGGTGCTGGTGTAGTCTTGGGCCAAAGTCAGTTGCTTCCAGGCACGCAGCCTCATGCGGGCAAAATCCGAGGCGGATATGTGCTCGAACCTGGCTCGCAAGGTGGCACCCCACTCCTTCCATGTGCGTATCATGGCCGTCCCGAAAATTAAAGCTGCTCGTTGCATGACAGGTGTCGAAGTCCCGTCGTTCGCATGTGTTATCCCTGCCGAAGTCCCCTCGATTTGCAGCGTTCGTCGCCACCACTCCAACGCAGGTCCCCTGAACAGTGATACTGCAAAATTAATGCGGGTAGCATCGTCGTTAATCATCGCAGCGTTATAAAACACCTCCACACCAAACAACCACGCAGAAACAGTGACAAACTTGTCACTCGGGTTCAATGGGGGCGGGTTTGTCGGCTTTATTGTGACAGTTGTTGAAGCTGTCACTGTTAGAAGGAGATGCTGCCATGAGCAACAAAAGGTCGGCGCTGGGATTTGAACTCGTGACCTTCAATCTGTCCTGAAAGTGTCTCAGGACAGATTCACGACAGGTTCTGCTAAGGCGCTGGTTATGGTGCGCGCGAGTTTCGAACTGGAGACCTTTCGATTCAAGTGTCCTGTCAAGACAGATTGGGGACAGTTTGGGGACAGTTTGGCGAAATCGATCTCGGGCTGCGTTCAGTTTGAAACTCGGCAGCGAAGTGTCAAAGTCAACGGAATTCGCACGGGAGATACAGTCAGTGGTCGACGGAATTATGGTCGCCGAAATTCTCGTCTACGGAATTCCAGTCAATGGAATTTGCTCGGCGAAGTTCAAGGCTCGGAATTTCGCGTCGACGAAATTCAGCGCGAGACCCGGGTCGACAATTTCTTGTGTGCTTCGCTTTTGTATTGCGTCCTAGTATAAAACTAGAAATCAACCAAGTCACTATCACTGCTATGTTTGTGTGTAACTCTGGCTATAGTGGACCGTTTCCTGCAATCTTTGGTGCGTTAAAATCGTGCTTTCGAGCTCTATGAAGCTGCTATAGTAGTGGAATTCTACATGGTATCAGAGCTGCGTTATCTGCGTCGATCCAACTAGCGACTTGATTCCGTCCTCCCGTCATTTCGTTCCTACGTTGGTGTGGCCGACGCTCGTTTTGACCGCGGATGGAGTGGTTAATGAGCGCCGAAGGCCTGAATGTCCATCAGGAGCTGGAGGCGTACGTTCGTGAGCACCACCCTAACTTGCGTGATGAGGAGATCGACCTCATTGTGGACGGTCGTCTACTACGCATGGTTCGGGAGTGCTCGGCGGAGCAACCAACGGCGAGCGACCAGGAAGGGGGAGCTGGTGGGGGAGAAGCTGAGCACGAGGCTCCTGGTGCCGTGGGCATTGGCGGAGGAGCTGTTGCACCGACCATCGACACGGGATTGATCGGGACGAGCTACGGTCAATTCAAGTTTGGAGTTGAACATATCTCCGTGACGCCACTGCTGGAGGGAAGGCACGACCTCACCGCGTGGGTCAGCGCCATCCGACCTCAGCTCCAGTGCGCCGATTTGTGGCAGTTCTGCAATGGGACAGCACCAAGCCCGGCCCCAAGCAACCCCATGCAACAAAGGGAGTACGCGAAGGGCCAAATGCTTGCATTTATGGTGCTGAATCGTTGTGTTTCTCCACCCATCCGAATGTCCATCTCTGGTTTCTCTTAGCAAGAGAAAGCCGGGCAAATGGCATGGGCATAAATTTCTCGTCGACGTACCAAGCTCGTGATGCCCTCCATGCCTCCCTACTTCAGACCCAGTTAGCCCAACTCAGGAAGGGAGATGACGAGACGGCCGAATCCTACTGCAACAGGGCCCGCACCATTCGAGCGAAGTAGCTGACCATTGGACAATAGGTCCACATGGCCATGTTCGCTGCACACGTGCTGAAGGGCTTGCCACCGTAGTACGGATTTCTTCGCCGCAAGCTCGACATTTCCAGCCCTGACATGACGGTGGAACGTGTGTGCAGCGAGGTGTTGATGGAGGAGCATAATCTTTCCATCGAACAGAGCTACAAGCAGATCACCAGCGATGCATCTGCTTTCTCGGGCGCTGTCAACACCATCGTGGCTACAACGGGGGTCAACGGCAAGGGAGGGCAAGGAGGAAAGGAGCGAACTGACAAGAAGAAGGATGACAAGCGGGAGAAGAAGCGAGGCCCGTTCAAAGGGCACTGCTACAACTACAACGAAGAGGGGCATATGGCTGCGAAGTGCCCCAACAAGAAGAAGGATGCAACGCCCGCGGCAGCCGCGAACGATGCTGAAGGAGACGAGAAGGGTGTGGCACTCACAGCGACGTGTTTGGCTGCAAAGTTGCTGGCGGACGACAAGGACTTGTGGTTCCTTAACTCGGGATGCTCCCCACACATGACCGGGCGCAAGGAGTGGTTCACGGTGATCCGTGACCCATCTGCAACGAAATCCGTCAAAGGGTTTAATGGTTTCATGCAGGAAGTCGCCGGTGCTGGTGATGTTTTGCTGAAGGGCACTCACGGCTTGCGTGTGACTCTGCATGATGTCCTCTTTGTGCCAGGAATGAAGGCCAACTTGGTCTCCCCTGGGCAGCTCACGGACAAAGGAGCAAACCTGCAAACCGAAGAACGTGTCACTCACATCATCGCATCGGGAGGACACGTGGCTGCAACGACACGCTACCGACATCGTCTCCTGTGCCTTGACCTAAAACCGTGGCCAGCAAGCAACGGCACAACGGCTGCAGTGGTATGCAACGGCACGGCGGCTGCAGCGGCATACAACAGCACGGCAGCTGGAGCGGCATACAACGGCACGGTGGCTGCAACGGCATGCAACGGCACGGCGGCTGCAGCGGCATGCAGCCGCACGGCGGCTGGAGCGGCATGCAACGGCACGGTGGCTGCAGCGGCATGCAACGGCACGGCGGCTGGAGCGGCATGCAACGGCACGGTGGCTGCAGTGACATGCAATGGCATGACTAAGGCGGTTGCCGACGGAGCGGCCAGCCTCAAGTCGTACGCGGTGGGCCCCAAGGCAACGCCCAACCTGTGGCACGCTCGCCTTGGACACATCCACTTCGAAGCGGTGAAGCGGACAGCCACGAGCGGTGGCGCGTTAGGCATGGACCTGTAGAAAGGAGGTGAGGATATGCCGTGCACCTCTTCTCATGAAGCCAAACTCACTCGCGAATCATTTCCGCTGCACGACGAACGAGACGAGCAAGTTCTTGGGCTGGTCCATACTGACGTGTGCGGTCCATTTCAGACCCCAGCCATGGATGGAAGCAGGTACTACATTCTGTTCGTGGACCACGCCTCACGTTACACCTGGGGGAAGACGTTGAAGCTGAAAAGCGACGCGCTTGCTGCCTTCAAGGAATGGCTTCCCGAAGCTGAACGCCAAACCGGGATGACGCTGAAGGTGTTGCGGTCGAACCGGGGAGGGGAGTTTATGTCGAATGAGTTTCTGTTGCTGCTGAAGCAACAAGAAATCTTGCGTCAACTCTCCTGCCCCTCGACCCCCCAGCAGAACGGTGTGGCTGAACGCCGCAACCGTACGGTAACCGAGGGCATGCGTGTGATGTTGGGGCACATGGGGGTGAAAGCACACTGGTGGCACTAAGCTTTCCAGCAGTTCTGGTGGGTGGTAAACTGTGTGCGCCAGTCCACCCTGCCCCATGGTGTGACCCCTCATTTGGTGGTGTTCAAAGTCAAGGCCGATGTGTTCATGGTCCGTGTGTTTGGGTGCATGGTGCAATACCTCATTCCTGAGCCTGAGCGTGAGGCTTGCAAGCAAGACTCGTTGGGGCATGCACTTGGGCATGAGCATGGAAAGCAAGGGATGGCGTGTGGTGGATGTTGAGTCGAAGCGCATGGTCATCACCCGGGATGCACGGTTTTATGAGGACATGTCACTTGAACGGTGGTAGAAGTGGCGTGCTTGCGTGGGTGACGATAATGACCAGCCCACACCACCCTTTGCTTCAGTCCCATCTCTCTTTCCTGAGCCCCACGACCCCGAGCAGAACCTGCCGCCACCACGTACTGTCATCGTGGTCCCGGCACCGTCCGTGCAAGGGGGCGAGCAACCCCTTGATCACTCGGTGGGCTTTGTGGGCAGCAAGGCACCCACTGTACCCCCTCCTCTCGGTCCACCCTCCGTTGCTGAAGAAGTAGCAGTGGATGAGCAGCCATTAGTGGCCCATGAGCATGAGACTTCACCTGCAGTCCCCCCTATCCAGCCCACTCCACCACCCCCACGTCGCTCCAGCAGGCCCAACAAAGGGGTGCCACCCGTACGGTTTCCCGCATGAGCCATGACGGCCCAGGATGCGGACGATGAGGACAACCCGTACGACATAGCCTACCTTGCTGAGGATGATTGCGACACGGACAACGATGACGAAGTGGAGTACCCGGACGAGGATGAGGAGGAGGAAGGCGCTTGGGGAGGTGTCATCCTCGACCTGGCAGCAGCATTGACTGGACCTGAAGGCAAGGAATGGTGGGCTGCTATGAAGGAGGAGATGGAGAGCCTTGATGAGCAAGGCACTTGGTCGTTGGCCGACCTACCCGAAGTTCGCAAAACATTCGGCGTCAAGTGGCTAGAAGCTGCGGCGTGATGGCACCGTGGAGAAGTATAAGGCCAGGCTCGTGGCAAAGGGCTTTAGCCAGCGCTTCGGCATCGACTACGACGACACCTACGCTCCTGTTGGCAGCTACACCACCGTTCGCGTGCTCCTCTCAATCGCAGCAGCTATGGACCTGGATTTGCTGCAGCTTGATGTGAAGAATGCATTTCTTCACGGCACGATCGACCACAAGATCTACATGCAGCAGCCGCCCTACTTCACCGACGGTAGCAGCAAGGTGTGCCTCCTGCACAAGAGCCTTTACGAACTCAAGCAGAGTCCCCTTCGGTGGTTCACGGAGCTAGACAAGGTGCTCCTTGTGGAGGGGTACAGGAAGAGCCTTGTGGACCAGACCCTATATTACAAGGATGGGGCGAGCGGGAAGCGCGTGTGGTTGCTATTCTATGTGGATGACCTGCTAGCGGCAAGTGAAGACAAGAAGCTGCTACAGGACCTGAAGGAGCTGCTGGCGAAGGCGTTTTAGCTCCGTGAGGTGGAGCCAGTGGAACGCTGCCTGGGGCTGCAAATTGTGCGCGACCACCCCAACAGGACACTCCTCCTGCACCAGAATGCGTACGTGGCAAAGGTGCAGCAGCGATTCTTCAAGGGGGCGCCACCGAAGAAGCAGCCCATCACCCCTCTCTCCTTTGCCAGCTTTGCCAAGGAGGATGCCGGGCAATTTGCCGACCGAACCATGACCGAGTACCTGTCAATTCTCGGCATGGTGCAGTTTGCAGCCATCTCAACCCGTCCGGACCTCTCTTTTGCGTGCAGCAGCCTTGCAGCAGGTGCTCTCACCTAAGGACGGATGCGCATTTTCATGAACTCTACCGCACACTCTCCTACTGGGCTGCCTCACCGGACATGGGGCTGCTGTTCAAGGGAGGACCAGAGAGCTTGACCCTCGTGGGGTATGCGGATGCGGATGATGCGGGCGACAAGGAGAACCGATCGTCAACGGGATGCTACCTCTTTAAGCTTGGCGGAGCTGCCGATTCCTGGCAGGCCAAGAAGCTGTAGGGTGCGACCAAACTTTCCTTCATCGAGAGTGAGCTTGTGGCTGCGGTGGAAGCGGGAAGGGAAGGGCGCAGGCTAAGGTTCCTGCTGTGGGAGTTTCAGCTGCTCAAGAAGGATGTTCCCACCACCCTGTACGTCGACAACATGTCAGCAGTGCAGCTCAGCCAGGCGGGCGGGCTGCAGGGGCGCATGAAGCATGTGGATCGTCGCCACATGTGGCTCCAGGACATGGTGCGCATGAAGAAGTTGGAGCTGCAGCACATCCCCACGACGGTGCAGCCCGCAGATTTATTCACGAAGAGGCTCGACAAGGCAGACTTCAACCAATGCTGTGCAGCAGCCTGGATGGTCCAGCGTGCTCCTAACAGCAAGCGGGCGTGTTAGAAGGAAATGCTGCCATGAGCAACAAAAGGTCGGCGCTGGGATTCGAACTCGTGACCTTCAATCTGTTCTGAACGTGTCTCAGGACAGATTCACGACAGTTTCTGCTAAGGTGCTGGTTATGGTGCGCGCGAGTTTCGAACTGGAGACCTTTCGATTCAAGTGTCCCGAAAGTGTCCTGTCAAGACAGATTGGGGACAGTTTGGGGACAGTTTGGAGACAGTTTGGCGAAATCGATCTCGGGCCGCGTTCGATTTGAACTCGGCAGCGAAGTGTCAAAGTCAACGGAATTCGCACGGGAGATACAGTCGGTGGTCGACGGAATTCTGGTCGCCGAAATTCTCGTCTACGGAATTCCAGTCAATGGAATTTGCTCGGCGAATTTTGCGTCGACGAAATTCAGCGCGAGACCCGGGTCGACACTTTCTTGTGTGCTTTGCTTTTGTATTGCGTCCTAGTATAAAACCAGAAATCAACCAAGTCACTATCACTGCTATGTTTGTGTGTAACTCTGGCTATAGTGGACCGGTTCCTGCACTCTTTGGTGCGTTGGAATCATGCTTTCGAGCTATATCAAACTGCTATAGTAGTGGAATTCTACAGTCACTGCCGCTGGAACTGTTGCCACTGCTGATGTCGTCGCCGGAGATGTAGCTGGTGCACGTGTCGGCACTGCATGCGACTGCTGTTGCTGCGACTGTTGCTGTTGTCCCCGCCTTGCTTCGTCAGCATCCATGGAGCCTTCAAGCTCACTGAAGACGACGTGGAGCTACTACTTGCTTCCTCCATGACGGGCGATTCCTGGCGCGTTTCACCTCGCGCCTGGTGTAGCTCGTCGTTTTCTTCCCTCAGGCGTGCCATCTCCACAGACATTGTCTGCAAGTTGGCTTGCATCGCCCGAAACTGTTGCATGAACTTGTTCAAGTCCGCCTGGTCCATATTTTGCATGCTTCGTCGGACGGGCAGGGGGTGGTTAGCGATTTTTATGACTTCGGTGAAGGCGCAAACACTATCGTAGTCGGAGTGAAATAATCGTATCTATTTCACAGGTCGACCGCTTTGCAGCCCACCAAGTCTATAGCACCCCTTACTCAAACCACCCCGGAAACGCGAGGGTAACCTAGGAAAGTAGCTCTACCAAGTGTTATGAGTTGTAATAAAAAGAGTGCGCAAGATTCAATAACGCGGAAGTGAATACAACTGACGAGTGAATAATGAAGCCTAGCACTAATAAAGCAATGCTAGCTAGGCCAAGACCGCGGGGTCGTGAGACGGTTGGGTGCAGGTTCGGGGTTGGAAAACCCGAAGGTGACGTGGTGGTGGTTCGGAGGGCGAGGTCATCGGACCGAGCCTGTTCTCCGGAAACCGCAGTTGTACGTGTACAGTGTGAGCCAGTAAGGAATCACGGAAAATTCCTTACACCAACGATCTTATCACCTCCTCCGATGACGATCGATGTACTTTCATGCCCACACTGATCTGGGCTTATACGATCGATGGGGTTTTCCCCCCTAAACTCTCGATCCTCTCACCACGGGATCGAAATCGATCCGCGATCGCTTTTGCTGCTATCACCTCCTCCAATCTTGTCCCGATCCAGCGATCGGTGTACTCGGTCGGTTTTTTACAGAGACCTTGCGATCGATCAACGGAGGGGGCGCGTCCTTAGGAGCCTCAGTTGGCGTCGAACCTTTGCTGCGATTTGTGAAAACCGAACCCGAATTCAGCTTCCGGCTAACGTCGCCGAGGACAATTAGAGTTTCGGCGGACGTAGTTACCAACTCCGTCAAGCAACTTCGCTTCAACCGCAACCCAGGTTCCACACCCTGACCAAATGAACTGACGATGAGACAATAAATTTCACGAGACAATATATCGTACGCAATGACTAATTTCAAATTCCTTTCGCCGCACCTATTTCCACTGCGTATGACACTCAAACTCTACCACCCTCTAAGGACGCGTCACCTCTCGGAACTTCTAGCTCGTTTGACAGGATCGATCCTACGCAGAATCGAAATTTAGCGGGGTTAAAAACGTTTTAGAAATGTTTGTGATTTAAGTGCGGTGGAGGATCGATTTTGCACGATCGATCGCCAAAATG